CGGGATCTCTTGTATAATGTAAGGCAAAACATATATATATATACATTTTTTTTTAACAAATAGTTTATTGTCAAATTGGTTTCCATATAACACCCAGTGCTCATCCCCACAAGTGCCCTCCTCCATGCCCGTCTCCCCTCTTCCCCGCAACAAACAAAATATTTTTTTGAGACTCACCCATGTTGATGCATGTATCAGTGGTCAGTTCCTTTTCATTGCTGGGTTGTCTCCTCCCAATATAGCCACCCTCCTGTTGATGGACACTTGGACTTGGTCTGTCTCCAGGTCGGGGGCTATAATCAATAAAGCTGCTATGAATGTTCTTCTACAAGTCTCATTGTAGATATACATTTTTATTTCTTGTGGATAAATAACCAGGAGTTGCACTGCTGATCATAGGGTGAGCGTAGGTTTAATTTTAGACAAAAAAAAAAAAGCTGCAAGCTTTTTTCCCACATGGTTGCACACTGACACCATCCGTATATGGGAATTAGAGTTGCTCCTCATGTTTGACGACCTGTGATGTTGGTCTTTCTAATTTTAGACATTCCAGTGGGTGTGTAGTGGTGTCTCATAGCTGAGCTTTTTGTTTTCCCATGTGCTTATTGGCCATTTGTAAATTTTCCTTAGTGAAGTATCTGTTCAAATCTTTTGCTCTTTTTTTTGATTATGTTGTTTGTCTTTTCACTGTTGACTTGTAGCAGTTCTTTATATATTTTGAATACTAGTTTCTAGTCAGATAGGTTTTGCAAATGTTTCCTTTCAGTCTGTGACTTGTGTATTTGTTTTCTAAATAGTGCCTTTTGGTGAGCAACAGTTTTCTATTTTGATAAAGCCTAATTTACAATTTTTTATTTTATGGCTATTGCTGTCTGGGTCCTGAGATAATTTCACCTATTCCCAAGTCACGAAGATTTCCTAAGTTTTTTCCTAGAAGCTTTACAGTGTTAACTTTTACATTCAGGTCTATGATTTGGCTTGAATTAATATCGGTATTTGGGACGAAGCAAGGGTCAAAGTAAACTTTTTTCATATAAATAACCTGTTGTTTCAGTAAATATCATCAAAAGACTTCCCTTTCTATTAGATGGCTTTTCCACTTCTTTCAAAAATCCAACGACTACATAAGTATAGGTCTGTTTCTGGACTCTGTTCTGCTCCATGGATTGATGGCTTTTTGAGAACAAATTCTTAGAATGTTAGAGGTAGAAGGAAACTCTGTAATACTTTGATCTTTTGGTTTGTAAACTTTCTTGGATCCCAGACCCCCATGAAGAATCTGATGAATAGTTTGGATTATCTCTAAAGAAATTGCACCTAGATATAAATGTTTGCATATAATCTTAGGAGGCTTTCTCTTTTGACAAAAAAGAAAGTTGAGGCCCAGAGATATAATTTCGAAAGGCTACAGAGTTTAGCCAATGACAGAGCTCAGGATAGAATGCAGAACCTTTAACTGCTATATTGACCCCCTCAAAAATTAGTAAATCATTGTCTCTATTATTCAAGAGCTGATGTTATAGTGAGGAAGGCAAACATGTTCACGGCTATAATAGAAAGCATTGTCAGATAAGAACCAAACTAGAAGTATCTGCCTCTGGAATATGAAGAGTCTGGGTAGTCAGGGAAGGCTCCGTGGAGGAGGAGGCATTTGAGCTGGACCAATGAGATGCGGAGAGAAGCTTCTCTCGTCCAGGGTATTCTAGGATGAGTAAAAGCCCTGGAGTGGAAACAACGACCCACCCGCCCCTCCCCAAAGCTAAAATTGTGTCTGTGTAGGTATGAAGCAATAGACCTCAGCGTATTAATAGAAGGATTTTGATGGTCATAATAATATTGCTCACATTCCTGCTGATGGAAGATGAGTCAGAGGCTGAGGAAGACTTCCTCTGGGTTGGTATTGTTTTTACATTCCGTCCCTGAAGCTATCACTATTATGGATTGAAAACTCTGTATATCTGAGTGTCATTAGCAAAGCAGGCTGAATGGTCCTCATAGTAAAGAAGGGGGAAGTAGGGAAAGGAAGCAGTTGAGCAGAAAGAAGTCATAGGTTGGTATCAGCAGAAAATTGAAACCTGTTTCTAAAATTTACTAATTGTGTGACCTTGCACAAATCAAGGTCTTCTGACCTCCTGTTTCCTCATTTGGAAAATGGGCCTGATCATAACACCGACCACACTGGGTTATTGCACATCACCCTGGGCAGAGAACTATGCAAAAGGGGAGAGTCTTCATTATTATAAAAAATTGCCTTGGGCCTCAGCCCTAGGAGCCCAGACTGCTAGTACTGAGCAGTGGCCGGGAGAGGTGGTGGGTGCCCGGGCAAACAAACGCATCCACACTCAGAGCCGTTCCCTGGACGATGCCTTCCTTCCCCAGAGGCTAAGAGTTAGGTGGAAACTCCAACTTTACACACATCGGTAGGCTTCATGTTTGATGTTTCCATGCAAAGCCATCCTTGAAGTTCATAACTGTATTTCTACTGTGTCTCAGATTACTCCACTTTCTTTAAGCACAGTGCTGACAACAGAGTCAGGGGGCTTCCTCCATCCATAGTCCCCTAATAACACGTGTGCAAAGATGAATTAGAACAGACCAGAAGCTCCACCCCATCACAGTTCCATTTGGTGGGGAGCCCAAAGCAAAACCCATCATGGAACCTGGCCTGCTCTGACCATGACAATGAGAAGACTAGTCTGAAGAGTTCATTGAATCGGGATGTTTTGCCCTGAAACAAAAACAAAAACAAAAACAAAAAACTAAGTGTGACTTAATAGATGTTGGTTGATGACCAGATGTTCACTAAATCCACTGAGGATAAACAAGACAGCACTTAAAATTCAGCTTGGGGGAATCTCAATTAGGTAGTAAGAAGAATTTCTTAACAGTAAAGAGTATTAAATATCTCTGACTAATGAGGGATGATGGAGTCTTTCTTTGAGTGTAGGGTCCCTATTCGGTTGTTTACCTTTCTCTGTACTTAGCCCCTCACCTCACTCATTCTTTCAGCAATCATGTATTAGCCAAACACTATCCCTGGTACTAGGAATACAAATACAAGTGCAAATAATTTTCTGTCCTTTAGACTCTCTCTCTCTGGAATCTTCACAAGATGTAAAATTTCTCTGAAAGGTATACAACAACTCCTAATATCTTAATGCAAATGCATTTTTACATTTCTCAGCTTACCAGACTTGGTGTGTACTGCAGGGGATGGTGGAGGCTGAAGAGAAAGGGAGGGACATTTTTATGGTTTGGGATTCCATTGGTTTCCTCTTGTGGCTATTATAAATTGCCACAAACTTAGTGGCTTAAAAACAACACCTATTTATTCTCTTGCTGTCCTGGAGGTCGGAAGTCTGAAAGCGGTTGCGTTGGGCTAAAGTCAAGTTGTGAGCAGGGCTCAGTCCTTTCGTCAGGTCCAAGGGGAAGATCTTTTTCCCTGACAGTTTCAGATTCCAGTGCTGCCCATGTGGCCTATGGTTTCTTTCTCTGTCTTCAAAGCTCATCATTTCAATTCATCTGTCCTGCCTCTGATTTGGACTCCTCCTGTTTCCCTTTTATGACAAGTATTGTGATTCCATCGAGCCCATCAATCTAATCCAAAATAATCTCTCCATCTCAAAATCCTTAATTTAATTACATCTGCAGAGTCTCCTTTGCCATATAAGCTAACATTCACATGTCCCAGGGATTAGAACACGGTCACATGGGAGGGGGGCATTATTGAGCCTTCTACAAGGGCAGAAACACCAATATAGCAACTTTCCCTATTTGGCCATTGTATCCAGGATTACCCCGGCTACTGTACATTGCTGAGGTCAGTATGGCTATGGGAGAGCATCTTGGCCAATGTCACAACTGGTTGATGCTGACAGAGTCAGTGGATTTACCCTGTGATACAGCCAGCCCTGTCGGGGAGTGTAAGTTTTGTACTGGCTGAAGGCAAGATAATGGACACAATAATTCTTTCATATCCATTCCAGTGCTGTAATGATGGCTAACACTTCTTAAGAATTTATTATGTGCCAAGTACAATGATAATTATCCTTTAAAGTCATTTATCCAAATAATCTGTGTACATAATTAAATATATATACACACACACACACACACACACACACACACACACACATCAGTAGAAGACTTAATCAAACAATAACAATCTTCTGATTTTTTCCTTCTCACCCACTCCATCCCATAGAGGCAACCTGTCTCAGCTCTTAGTAGTTTCTACTGGCATTTATCTCCAGCTTCTAAACAGCATGTTTATATTGCTATTTCTTGACTTATCCATTTTAGACAGATTCTAGCTACTAAATTTCTTTTATTGCAGGTGAGGTGTTTGCTCTCTAATACTCTGTCACCTTCTTTCTACTATCTCTCCCCTATCCTTCTAGTGTAATTATATCACAGTTTGGGGTTAAATTAATACTCTGTGTTTATACTTTTATGACCACATAAGTATTGTTCACTGCTGAGACAGGTAGTTTGCCATAATTATGTGTCATTTCTCATACATTGTTTTTCCTGGAGTTTGTAATTGCCTGATTTTTTTTTAATTTGATGTTTTGTGTGAACCAATTTCTTTTTTCTCTACCCATATGCTCCAACTGATTGACCACCTAACAATAATTTTCACAACATTTATATCCCACTGTGTACATAGTTGTCAAAAATAAATAGTACTTAAAGACTCCATCAGACAGTTGATTCTTTTTTTCCCACAGTCCTCCATTCTCCCATTTCAGTCTGGACCTCTCCTCTTGAGCTAGAGACAGGACTGTTTTTCCACGACTTTGCTTTTGCCAGTTTCCTGCCCTGGACACCCAAAGGCCCTTCCTCAGATAAGTGTCAGGGTTGAATTCGAATTCAAGTTTTTCTACATCAGAAAAACAACTCCCTTATCTACCATTTTATATAGCGTCTAAGAAGTCAAGATTTCTAAAGAGTTTCTATAGTGTTTAAGCAGGAGGTAGATGCTACATGGAAGTAGTTACCATTGGTAGTTGCATCGCTTTTGAACTGTACACTTGCACACACTTTTGAAACACACAGCAGTTCTCCAAGTGTTGGTATTTGCTCTTCACACCTGGAATAAACAGCATGCAAACAGAGAAACAGAGATTTTTTTTTTTCCTTAACCTCGCAGACATTTCCATGTGAGTTTGTTGCCACTTTGGGAATCCTTCTTTCCTATTGTAAGACTTTATTCAGAAGCAACATCTGGTGTCTGTGGTTTGTTTTTTTTTTTCTCCCTGATTTATTAATTTTCTCTACCTTGCCCTCGAGGTCAAGGAAGACTTCTAGTGGGCATATAGACTGCCCAGTCGCAGGGGTAATGTCACTTCTATCTGAACCACATATCCCTCTGCACACCCACTCCCACTCCTTGTTCTCTCTCTCTCCCTCCCAGCCTCCCTCCCACCCTCTCTTTCTCTCTCTACCTCTCTCTCTTTCACACACACACACACACAGACTCCCTGAGCACTTGGACCCAACCCTGTTGAAGACAAGAAAAGGGTCTGGTCAGCGTCAAAAGATGTGAGTCCTACCAACCTGTCTGGACTGGAATCATGAGGGTGAGGGGCACAAGGAGGGGAGAAATGGAGAGGAATGAGGGGATTAGAAGCTACTCCGAATACTCCTCAATGTCATTTTGCACCTTCTCTTCTCCGTGCTCCCAATTCCTGCTCAAGCAGCGACATTTACCATGGAGAAGCCAAAATTACCATTAGGTCCTGTCATCTACCTAGGTGAAACCACAGAATCCACAAAAGGCATAAATCCTTTTGGAAGCAAAGCCCTCCCGATGCAATGCCAGTGAAGTGGTCCTGCAGCATCGCTCTCTCTTCTACGTTCTCCCTCGCTCTGTTTTCCTGTTTCTTCTCCATTTTTCTCTCCCTCCCTCCCCCTTGTTTTTCTCTAGTGCTCCTTCCTTTAAAAAAAAAAAAAGAAAAGAAAAAGAAAAAATGAAACAAACCAGCCACCCTCTTGTTTATCTGTGTGTGCTCTGTGCGTGGAGCTCGGGGACCTCCCCAGAATAGTTTATTATGGCTTTTCTGTTTAGCTCGACTGCAGTATAGCAGAGGTAATACAATCATGTCTCAGCTCCATATGGTCTCGGAGGCTGACAAGCAGAACAACCTCTGCTTTGTTTGTGTTTTACTTATGGTATTATGTGAGCCACGTGGGGCTGCTGGGCTAGGTCCCTCCCACAGGACAGATCAGAGAAGGAGCCAGGCTCCATGTCGTCTCTCCCCACCCCCTTCTGCTAACACACACAAGCACACGCACACGCACACACACTCTACGACAGCTCAGGGCATGGTGCAGGTGAGGAAGTGATGACGGAGCCCAGAGCTCATGAGGGGGCACACCAGGAAGTCTGGATTGTGGGGGCAAGAAGAGGAAAGTGGAGCAAAATTCACTGAAAGTGTGCACATATTTTCCTACGTATGTAATGCTCATACACTCTTTGGAATATATATCGTTGCCCTATGTTCTTGCAGAGAAAGCACAGGGCAGTAACCCCACTTGGCCCTTTTTCTGTTGAGTGGGAGGCCAGGAACCAAACCCTTGTCTGAACCCAAAGGCATTCAGTCTACTACATTGTCTCTGTCTACAATGAGCGAGCCGCTGGGGCTCTTAAGAACCCTTCTCTTCTCAGCAAAGAGCCTGTTTCTACTGGCAATGACACACCATCAGCCCCCACCCTCCCCAACTTGAAACAGAACGTGGGAGTGTAAGGTGACAGGGCTTAGCGTCACCTTCAGATACACTCCAAGCAGGCCTGGGCCTGTAGTCACTGGGGCAGATGGGGTACCATATCCCAAAAGCATTTTGAAAACGGTGAGACTTTAGGGCAGCATACTTACAGGGTGGTGTTTCATGGCTTCAGTGACAGTAAGGTTTTACCTAAAAATGGAGAGAGGATGAATCAGTGGGGAGGAGTTAAGAAAATATTAGAGATAGAACAATGAAAGGGCCAAGCCACAAGGAATTATAGGTATCCTCAAGGTGCTGAGTTAAAAAAAAAAAAAAACACCATGTTGTGGACAGGTCCACTAAATATATAGCTTCAATTTTTTTTAACAAAAAAGAACCAATGACAGATGCTGGGAGTTCCATAATTCCGGCATCTAAACCATATGAAATAATAACACTAGCTAATATTTGTTCCGTGTGCTTTATAAACAGATTCAGTTCGAAGTGCTATTCATTCACTATCTCATCTAAGCCTTACAATCACCCATAATGTAGATGCTTTGCTATTATTAACAGTACCTGGCACACAGAGGTGACCAATAAATATTTGCTGAATGAATCATCACCCCTGTTTTCAAGGCGAGGAAACTAAACCACAGTGATATTTCACAACATTGCCCAGCTGGTGAGGGGTTGAGTGGGAAATGTAGACCCAGACAACATAACTCTGCCACCAGCCTGCTAAACCACAGCTCAGCACAGTGTGCATTTTTTTTAATGTTTGTTTTGAGAGAGACATTTACACTGAGTTTTCCACCTGATAGTAACCCCAAATCGTTGATCAGATTATGTGATCCAATGTCTAATTTGAAATAAATGAACTCCCTATGTGCAAAAAGTGGCAAAGGGACCCTGTATGGCCCCAACCGCAATAGGACCCTACTGTAGAGGAAACGGGAAAGTAGTGAGCCTAGTTTCTAAGGAGACACCAGCAATTTTACTAGCAGACACTGAGAGCAGCCCAGGCCGTGGACATCACCAGCAAGGGAGACCAAGGCTGGCTCCTATCTAGTCTGGGCCCAAAGACAGGTTTGATAGGGAATCTGTCTGTTACCAAGGGGGGTCCCAGCCATGAGCAATAACCATCTCCTCCTTCCATCTTCATCTTCAGATCTCAGGCCTCAACCACAGAGGCTGATCCCACACTCATATTTGTATCTGGAAGCGGTAATCAGTTTTAGCCATAGTAACTGTGACCATGATAGTGGTGATAGTTAGCATTCATGTGAGCACGTTGTATAAGCTAGTGACTTTCCATACATTTGCTCATTTACTTCTCTTAACCCCTTTATGAGATCAATTTTATGAACCCCGATTTGCAAAAGAGGAAAATTCTATATTAAAGGTTAAAACCAAGGTCACGCAAAATAGCATCCAAGTTGGAATAAATAATTGCTATGGGTAGCCGTGGAGAATAAGAGGCATCTTTAAAAATCATGCTTGGGGGCTTCACGGTAGGAGAAAGTAAGGAGGGAGAGTTCTATCCTTTCCCTTGGAAACAGTAGAGGGTTATGGGGTGGGTACTACGTATATGAGCAGCTGTATTTTTTAGTACAAGCTAATTGAACCACCTGATTCTCCTCCACCATCTGTCTCCAAGACTCACGATCATGGCCCCCCAACCTCCAGCAGCCAGTCACTATAGCAGCCTGGAGCCCAGAATAGTCCCTAATTTCAGCAGAGCCAAGAAGAGATGGCTTTGCATTCTGTACACACACGACCCGGCGCCTCTAAAAAAGAGGGTGCCTCACATTGCCTCCTTCTGCACATATTTACTACCTACTGTGTACAGGCACATGGCTTGAAGTTGGAACAGACCAGTGAACAAAGCAGACTTAAAATACAAACCAAAAAAAAAAAAAAAGAAAGAAAGAAAGAAAAGAAAAGAAAAAGAAAGCAAGAAAAAGAAAAAAAGAAAAACCTGCCTTCATGGAGATTACGTTTTGCCAAAGAGGCTTGCGGTGTCCAGAACCATCCATCCACTCACCTTCCTCAAAGACAAGTCAGTCCACAGGAGCCCAGACGTAATGACGGAGCTTCACAGTGCAAAGCTCCTCAAACGGGACCTGTTGTGACATCCTCCCAGCACCTGCCCTTCCTTCTCCAGCCTTTTGTGCCAACAGGGTCAGACAAATGAAGGCGAGCGCCCAAGTCTCCCTAAGTCAAATCCCGCCCCGGCGGCACCTGTGACTCGTCCCCTCTCCAGGCCCTGCACTCTAAGCCTTTGCCTCTTTGTTGGTTTGCATCATAAATGTGTAATGCCAGTCTAAGAAAAGCACCCAGCCCAACCCGCTCTGCCTTGCATCCATAACGACCTTATCAAAGGGTTTTTTTCCGAGCACGGAGAACAGAGAGCCCTCCAGGTTTTGATTCATAGCAGGTGAAGGCTGGATGTGCTGAAAGCTGATTGAAATCAGCGAGGTCAACAAAATACAGCAGAGAGTGCACAATAATTGGGAGAGAAGCAGCGCTACCTTGTTTTTTTGTGTGATCCCCTGCACTTTCTAGCTCCTGCTTTTAAAGGGAAGTCTTTGTCTTACACACTTTATTGCATTAGTTTGTGCTTTATTTGTATAAACTTTGGGTTTTGCTGACCCACAATTTCCTCTCCCTTTGTCCTGTAGCCGACTAGACATTTTGGTGGCGGGGGGGGGTGGCAGGGAGAGAATTTGAAGGGATGGGGCTTGAGACTCTCTGGATTTTCATGTCTGGAGGAAGCACACATGCACACACACATGCACACACAACAAAACATGCCCTTCCATTTTGCTTTAGGAGGGCAGAGTTGACTCTCGACCCATTAACTGTCTGATGCTAATAGGAGTTACTGCTTATCAAGAATGTCATTCTGACCAACTCAAAGGCAAGCGATTGTACTGTACTCAGAGTCTGCATCTGCACATCCTCTCTCTCTCTCTCTCACACACACACACACACACATACACACACACTGTCCCTTTATAGAGGCTCTGTCTAGACTGAAAGTCCTCTGAAGGCAAGAACTTGGTCTTGTTCAGTATCTCTGAATACTTAGGGCAGAGCTCAGCACATGGCCCTAGATAGATGCACGTCAGCGGAATGAGTGAATTTCCCAGCTGAGATTTCGTGATGCTGCGAAGGATCTCCAGAACCTCTGAGACGCAAGGAGGTGTGAATATGTAGGTGAGCTCTCCCTGTCACAGGAAAAGAGAAAAGTGTCACATGGCCACTACACAGAGGAGAGGCTGAGACTAACTCAAAGCCTTGGAGAACACTGGCAGTGGGGACTTAAATGGAAAGTGACATTTGTCAGGTTCTCGGGTCAGGAAATGCCTTCATTAGTCAAGCGTTGTATATTTGAAAGTGGTGTCATCTAGACTGGCCCAGGGAATTTTATCCATTGGATTCCATCCCATCAGAAGGAACTCGGTAGGTGTCCTGCTCTCCAAACTGTTGATCGCTATTATCCCATCTCACTACCTGCCCCCAAAAGTTTGCTGTCTGTCTTGACCATCTCCCTGTGAAGACAAGGCATGGTGCCTTGGTCCTGGTCCCATAGCTGAATTAGGGAGGTTCTTGAGATGACCTTCTAACCCGTGAGGCTCAGCAGTGAACACCAGAAATGTTTATTCTTCTCAAATGGAAAGCCTTTCCTGCTGGTTTACAAGAGACCCTAAGGCATATACTGCCACCCATGTAAGGGATGTGAAGGTGTCTTCATCACAGTAGAATGCTCACCTTCCCACCTGTCATTCAGAAGATGCTGAGTCAGGAAGTTCATACAGGCAGTAACAGCCCATAAGCAGCCAATTCCGCCTTCATCTCCCATGGGGGCCACTTCAAAACCCTTCTAATGGATCTCTGTCTGTGACCTTTTTTGAACTGCTGTTTAGGAAAAGGTCCAAAATGGTAAATAGAGAGTTGTCCTATGCCCCAGCAATTCCACTCTTAGGGATATGCCTAAGAAGCATGAAAACATACATCCACACTGAAACTTGTACACAAATGTGCCCAGCAGCATGGTTCACAATAGTCAAAGGTTGGAAGCAACTTGGATGTCTATCAGCTGACGAATGGAAACTAAAATGTGGTCTATCCACACAACAGAACTTTCTTCGGCAACAGGGAAAAGATTCTTGAGAACGTTATGGTAATGAAGGAAGCCAGTCACAAAAGGCTGTGTGTTATAGGAGGAGGCAGAGCTATAAAGACAAAAAGCAGATTCGTGGTTGCTGGGGATGGGAGGAGACTGAGGGTATGTGGGGGTGGGGTGGACGTTTGTGCCCAAGGGCTCGAGGTTTCCACTAAGGGTGATGAAAACGTTCTAAAATGGATTGTGGCTGTGGTTGTACACTATAAATAGGTAAATTGCATGGTATGTGAATTATATCTCAATGGAACTGTTATAAAAAAAAAAAAAAGAGGAAAAAAAAAGACCAAATCTGCTCATTTCCCTACCAAAGACTTCCCTGGCATGCCATCAACCAAAAATAAAACCCAAGTCCTTTGGCCTCAAAAAAACAGTCCCTTGACAATTCTACCCTATTTTTCAGCCTCATCTTCCACTCCCTTTGACAGGTACCTAAACCCCGAGTCTCTGGGCTTCTCCCCTTCTGGAACACTCCATGCTAATACTGCCGTGGAAGCCCCAGCCTTGGCCTGGTGTTACTGCCACCACATTGCCCCCCTCCGCCCCCCACCGTCCACCTGACAAATGCTGGTTTGTTCTTCGGGACCCAAGATGAACATCACCTCTTCTGTGAAGCCTTTCCCAGCTTTTCCAGAGATGGCTTCTCTCACTTCTGGGCCAGCACAGCATTCTGTTTATAGTCTGTTCTGGTGCTTATCACATTTTATTTTAATTACCTGTCTACATTGTGCTTTCCCGACTAGCCTGGACCTTGGGCACTTCAAGGACAGAATTGTTGCCTTATTTATCTTCGTACGTTTCTCTCCACCTTGACTCCACCACACATCACTAAACAAATGCATACACACACACGCGCGCGCGCGCGCACGGTTAGGACTATGCATGGTGACCCATAAGAAGTAGTTAACAGGGATGCCTAGGTGGCTCAGTCAGTTAAGGATCTGACTTCAGCTAACATCATGATCTCATGGCTCCTGAGTTCAAGCCCTGCATTGGGCTCTGTGCTAAAAGCTTAGACCCCAGAGCCTGCTTTGGATTCTGTGTCTCCCTCTCTCTCTGCTCCTCCCCCACTCATGCTATGTCTTGCTCTCTCTTTCAAAAATAAACATTAAAAAATTTTTTAAAGTAATTAACCAATATGAGAGGGAACATTCAGTGTCCCCAAATGTTAAAGGGAGAGGAGGAAGGAAAACAAAGAAGATGGACTCTGTCATGGGAAGAACGAGCTTTGAATCTCATCCCCCCCCTCCGTGGGGCTGAGCAACTTTGCTTAGCAACTCAACTCCAGTTTTGTCCCTCACAAAAGAAACTGCATAGCCGGGTGGTCTGATAATCATATTAAATAACAATAGCCCAGTGGTTCCTCTGTGTTGGTCACTTATGTTCCATATATTATGTCATTAATCCCTGAAACAGCCCTTTGAGAGAGGCGGGGCCAAGCACGGTTCACAGGCGCAGGAACTCAAGGCATTGGGAGATCGGTCTCTCTAACCCCATAGCCAGGCTTTCACTGTCTCAAAACTCTGCGTGTAGAAACTGGTGGTGGTTCGTGATTATTTCACTTTCTTCTAACATTCAGAAGGCCCTGGAAGTAAATAGCATGCAATGCCACTCTAAACATATCTTCCTAGCTTGAACCGTGTTTGGCTCAGTTGCCTTTCAAAATCAGTTAGGAAATCAGGATTTCACCACAAAGCAGATGGACACGTGCTAACTTCCGTTCGCTGCGCTCGGCCCGCCCTGTCTCCCTCGTTTTAGAGGTCAACTCCAACCCAGCCTCCTTTAAGACATCTTCTTACACAGCTTTTTTTCTGTATCTTTGAGGCCTTACAGGCTAGACCACTTATTTTAACCTCTAAATGTCACCTTCCACTCACAGACAAAATTGTCACTCTACACCCCTACTTCCCTCTCCTTTTCGCCCACAGATTTGGTGCCTTCTCGCAATACAGATTCTGACCTCCCCAGTCCATTAGAACTGCATTTGTTGATGTTGCCTACAGTCCTACCTGGTTGCCAGGTCAAATACATATTTCAGAGCACTGCTCCCTGGCCTATAGCACTAACTCGGCCCCCTGGACACTGCCTCCTTCCTCCTGAGGACTCCTCAACAGTGGCAGCTCCTTCTCTGGCCTCCTTCCCCCACTCCCTCATCTGTCTCCCTACCTGGGCCTACCTGTGGCCAGGGATGGCCCTGGGCTCTCCTTGGAGCATGGTGTGTCAAGCTCCAGCCCTGACTTCTTTCCTTAGCTCCACTTGAGTTTCTCCAACTGCCTTCTGGGCATTTTATTTGGACAACCTCAGTGTCGGTTAGGATTCAATCTGTCTAGACCCCGTGAGTGCTGCTTTTGTTGATTAAGAGCTGTGAGTATCTTGAGAAACTGTAAAATACCTCTTGAATTTTTCCAGACCTCTGCATTGACCTGGTCTCTATGTCACATGAACTTGTTTATGCTACCAAATGAACCAGCAGAGACGGGGTGTTCAGTTTTTCAAGGGGCTCACTGTGTCTATACCTAGGTCGAGACCTAAGTATCCAGACTGTATTTTGTACCAGGACCCTTTGTACTAACAGCCAAGGAGCCATCCTTCGGGGCCTACCCTGTGCCTGGCAGTGTGCTATATACTTCTTGAGATGCAATGATGATTGCTACGTAAAACCTATCATCAAGCAGATTACAGCATGTACCATCTCAAAAATAGCATAGCATAAAACCAGACTCATTATCTTCCCCCATGGCTGACGATCATTTTAGTCATTCATGTTTATAACTTCAGGATTTCTGCCTGTTGCTTCTTCATCTTGCCCCAGACCTGATCAGCCCCCAGTCGCCGGCACCCCTTGCTCCCACTCTTCCCTGCTTGCCATCTCAACACACACGCTTAGGCCCTCATTACTTTGTGACACAGTGTTGGCTCTGAGATCTCGCCTCTGCAAGCCTTCCCGCAACCTCTTCCTCCTCTAGAGGACCTCTCAGGCCCTTCCAGATGAATCCCCCTCGAACACCGGGCCTCACTCCCTGTTCAAAATGGTCATCACCTACAGCAGCTTCCACAAAATAATGGAATCCTAAAGTTCGGAAAAACCATGTGGGTCTTGGAGTCAACACTCCTACCATGGTCTTCCTCCCTGTCTTGAATTCATCCAGGAATGAGGAACTCACTCCATCCCAGGCGGTCCTCCATTGTTGCCCTGATTGCTCCAAGATCTCTGTCAGGGTGATCTGACTATCTCCTGATCTCCACCCATTAGTTCATGCCACCCACTTTCATGCGCTACTATCTCCTCCGTTGCTTGTCTCTGGTTCCTAACAGTCCAGAGACTTTCTCTGTTCTCAAACTCAACTCTACCCGGTAACCCCCTCTCCCCCCCACCTCATCAGCCTGAGCCTTTCCAATCTCCTTCTACTGGGAAAAGAGAGGAAAGAGAAGGAAACTGATTGTAAAAGGAACATTGGTCTCTGTAATGCCCCAAAGGAATGCCTCTCTCCTCTCTTCTCCCTCTCTTCTCTCTCTTTCTCTGTCTCTCACATGCGCGCGTGTGCGCGCGCAAACACACACACACACACACACTCTTGTCCAATATCTGATGTGTATGCACATGTCTTCTGTATTCCTACGTGTCTCAGTTCAGCTGGGTTTGGCTTTCTGTGTTCACCCCCATGCTTCAGAGGACGAAATCACACAGAAGCAATGCAATATTTGCATTATGTTTAAATTGTTCACTCATACGCCAACCACACTGGAATAGATCCACTTTATTTTTTTAAGGTTATTTATTTTTGAGAGAGAGAGTATGCACATGCATAAGCAGGGGAGGGGCAGACAGAGAGGGGGGCAGATGATCCAAATCAGGTTCTGTGCTGACAGCAGAGAGCCTGATGCAGGGCTCGAACTCACGAACCATGAGATCATGATCTGAGCTGAAGTTGGCCCCAATTGACCAATTTAGTTAACCAATTGAGCCACCCAGTGCTCTCAGATCCACTTTAAATCAAGGAAAACTCTTCTAGTCATGTACTGCTGCGTGCGTGCACGCACGCGCACACACACACACACACACACACACACACACAGTGCTTAAGAGTGAAGTTTAAAAATAGATGCACAGGTTAACACTAAAATAATGAAAGAGTTGAGCCGGTGTTTACTTCACGGATTATTACAGGTGAATCTGCAATACTCTGGACCAGTGGGTGGGTCTTCATGGGGGGCAATTCTGTCCACCCCCAGAGGACATCTGGGAATATCTAGAGACATTTTCGGTCGGCACAACTGTGGGGGGTGCTCTGGGCATCTCGTGGTCAGGGAGATGGCTAAACATCCTACCGCGCTCAGGACAATCTCCTCTCCAGAACAAATAATGACCTGGCCCAAATTAGAGGAGGTTGAGAAACCCTACTGTGTAGCCACTCAGCTATTGTTTCCCCCTCTGGCCTGCCTAGACTTGCAATGCTGTGTCAGTGGGGACCCAAGAGGGGGCTGGGAGGCTGCCAAGGGAACGCCCACTCCCAGGGGACCTGGAGGTCTGGGGTATGACCTCTCATCTGTGCCCTGACCTCCTGTGCCCCAGGCAAGCCCATTGAGATAATTAGGTCAGAAAAGCAGGCATTTGGCAGAGTACCAGCTGCTGTGTCCTGCTGAGTCCCCCCTCCCACCCCACCACTGCCCCAGGGGAGTGGAGGCAGGGGAGGAGAGAAAACAGAGGCTCAGAGGTGGGGGAGGGGAAAAGAGTAGGAAGATGAGGGGCGGGGAAGGGGAGACATCTGGCGAGGAAGTGAGGGTTGCATTGTTAGGGCCACCCCAGTGGTTCCTTGCCTTCCATCAACTAATGATGAAACAGGTCTTCTCACAGCTTAGCAAAGCCTTACAGTTCGCAAAGCGCTGCGCTTGTTACCCCGTTAATTCTCACAACCACTCGGTGATGGGGTGCGGCGGGCAGTCAGGACCCACCTGTTTGTAGAAGGGGACACAGAGTATCAGGGAGGCTTCAGACCCCAGAGGGGGCTCAACACTTGGTAGGCTCTCGAGAATTATTTGCAAGAGGGAGAAAGGGAGGAGCAGAGGGTGACAGAGAGAGGAAGGAAACGAGGTGCTGAATGTGGAGTTGGGACACATAGGATTTGAACGTGATAGACGCTCTAGGAATGCTTCTGCACCCATTGATTTGCCTTTAAGAAGATGCATTCTGTGTGAGGAAAGTGAAGGCATTACTTACACATGGCGCAGCAGAAAGAACTCTAGGTCTCTGGAACCCAGAGCCCCAGGGTGTACCCCCACTTCAGGCCGAGCGGATCCGTCTGCCTTGCGTGCTGGGGCCAGGCTCCCATGAAAAGGGGGAGGCTGGGGCTTTTCCTCTCTGGGGCTCCTTCCGATTCTGGAATCTCTTCATGTGGCCGCAGCCTGTAGCGCCTGGGCAAGGACTGAAGGTTTGTGGCTGCTGTTCTAGCTCATTCCATGGCACCTGCAACCTTCCAAGTGCTGCCTGTGGGAGCTACCCTTTGATCTTCCCTGAGACTGAGAAATATGGACCAGGAAAGCAAATCCCTCCCTCCCTGGGAAGACTGGGCACAGAATCACAGAAAGAGCACTGGATGAGGAGTCAAGAGATGCATGCTTTCTTCCAGGATGGCCCGTTCCCTGGCTCTGGGTTCTTTCCCATGTGGAGCATTCCAGGGGCTACCGTTGGGATTAGAGTAACATTTGGTCTCTTTACCTGGACTGAGAGGGCCCACGCGACCCAGACCCCACCAATCATTGTGACTCTATCACTCCCTGCTTTGTGACTTAACTCCAGAGACACTGGCTTGCTCTCTGTGCCTTGAACACACCCGGTGTACTCTACATCTTGAGAGCTCTTTCCACAAATACCCACGTGGTAGCCCCTCCCATCATTGGGTCTCTGGTCAGATGTTACCTTCTCAGAGAACCTTTCCTAACCACACCAGTGAAAGTAATCCCGGTGTGCCTGCCTCCCTGCCCCTTACTTTCTAGCCTCTGGTTTTGTACTTTTTCTTGAAAGATTTAGGAGAGAACACTGCTGGTGTGTCCTTCCACATGGACGATCCTTCCTCTGGGCAGGGTCACAGGCCTAGTCTCTCCCCGGCCTCTACTCACTTCTCTGCAGGGCGGGTGTGCCTTATCCAACTGGCAAGTTTGGAGAAGTTGCTGAGACTACATGGCTTGGCCACTACCTTTTTTGAGGGGATCTGCTTCACACAGGGGGTGCCTGAGCACTGGTCTGCCCTGGACCCCGTGGTTAAAGGCTTTGCCCCGCTGCGGGGAGGCCTGTGATTGACCGCTGCTGCCTGGGGCTAGGCGTGCGAGTCTGTCTAATCCCCGGGTCTAGCACCATGGAGCCCATTGTCGCTGAAGTCCTGAGCCGCATTCTCCAACCTCGCTTTGCTGAGCCATAAAGCTGGTGTCTGGGCCTCCACTGTCTGACTCACATATCTGCTCTCAGTGACACAGAGCTCAGGCTAGGAAGACTGTGTCATTAATGGGCTCCACTAAACCACAACATTTACCTCTTCCTGAAATCATACTCATTGGTTGATTCGTTTGTTTACACGGCTGTTGTCTGTCCCCTACACACACACACACACACACACACACACACACACACACACACACACCCCTCCCTCCCCCTGCCATCCCCTACAGAATGCAAACTCCTTGAAAGCAAGAATCCTATCCCTTTGGCTCATATATTCTGTGCCTGGAGCAGTACTTGGTTGCAGTGAAAGCCAAAAGGTATGGGTCAAATGACAGAATTTCCAACTTGCCCAGTAGAATGGGAAGTCAGAATTGGCTTCAAGTTGATTTCAAGAAATTTTTAGAGCATTTCTCACAAACCTAAGATGTAGATGAGATTTGTATCTATGAAATACGATTTCTTTAAGGTAAGGAAACTGAGGCATGGCAAGGGCAGTGATTTTCTGAGGATTTCACGGCCACCATCCCCGGCCAGTAGTCAGGCCCTGGATTGCTGCTGCTTTACACTGTATGTACCTTCTCCTCCCCCCGCAGAGGCAGACTGGGTGGGAGAGCCACTGAGTGCCAATTCTCCCGGTCCTGGTCTTTCTCTGAGTCTATCAGGCCCTGCCACGTTTCAGCTCCATCCAGTTATAGGCCCCGAGGACCTTTAATCTGCAGGCTCAGACTCTGCGAGGCTCTGAGTGGAAGCTGGCTCCTGTGTGGGGCGTCTGAGAGCTCCATTCATACCAGGAGGCACAGTCTGAATTCTGCTGTCCTGATCCCGGTATCTGGAGGGTCTGAGTCCACCACGTGCTCACCGAGTGTCAGCTGGCCCTGTTCGTGATGGCCCAGGCAGCGCAGAGGGCTCCCGCCCCGGTTTCCTGGTAGGGTGTGAGGCTGGAGAATGACCCTGCACCTTGTCCACGCGGTCAACTTCCCATCGTCTTACCCAGGCCTAGCTGGCTCTCTCTGGCCCTCCCAGGGGATGTACCCGTCCCTATGCCTGAGCCACTGCAGAGGGTTCTGAGGCAAACTACAGAAACCTTCCTGAAGCAAAGTTCTGCCTCCTGACGGAGTTCTAGAATCTCCACCGTATGCAAAGTCCTGTTTGGACATCAGGGCTGGCCTGGTACCATTCTGAGCTCACCCCTTGGCAGGTGGGCCCAGGATTACTGCCTCCACCATTTCTCAAAAGGTAATCCTTAGACCTACCCAGCCTACCTTCCAGCCTCCCTCTGAGCTTCCACATCAGCCCCTGCCCCAGACTTTCCAAGGAGCCACTCGCAGTTAGGCCCTGCGCTGCCAGAGGAGCGACCCTCGGGTGGCCTCCTCCCTTGCCGTTGGCTGGCCATTCTCCAAGAAGGCCCTTTTCCTGAGCATTCCAGCTATCTGCCTCAACTTCTCTCCCCTCCCTCAGGCCCTTCCTGTAAATTTCACATTTGAAACAAATATTGATTTCCATACTAATGCCCCTTAACAGGGTTGTAAGACACACACACACACACACACACACACACACACACACACAGAAAACAAAAAGCACGTCCTGCTACCACTTCTGGAAATGAATGAGGCAAAACAGAGAAAGCACAGAGGGGAAGAAAAAAAAAAGATGTGGCTTCTGGGCAAAACATAGCAGCTGCTATTATTTTCAGAGTCTCTCTCTGACCCTGGCACTGAGTTAAGAGCTCAGGTGGTGTCGTGAGTGTTAACTGGGAACAAGAGACCCAAGACGGCTGTTTTCCCATTAAAAAAAAAAAAGTGTTCTAACTTTTCCATCTTGTTACCAGACATGGGAGTGGAAGCCCAGGGTCTGCCTGGATTCCGTGGCTGCAGGACTCCCACACCCTCCCCCAACTCCCTTTTCCCTTGGCTAATAAGTAATCCCGAGAAGGCTTGTGCACTTTGCTTATTGTATTTGGCTCCGAAATGCATTTTCTTTATCACCCCCAACCTCAGGCACATGTGTTCTGATATCCATTTGTATGCCTGAATGCACGGAGCAATGGGTGTAATGTCATTTTCTGGGGAGCTGCAGGAAGCGGAAGGTCACTGGGCATGGTAAGAACTTGGCTCCTCAGCGGGGAGTAGACGCCCAAGGCCTGGTCAGTCCCTGTCTCAGGCTCAGCATCCTTCTCCCAGCAACCGTGGCTGGTCTCTGGGATCCCTAAGGAGCTCCGCGTCTTCATCCCGCTCCCCTCCCTCAATCTACCGAACACCACATTCACATCCCATAGAATTTGCATACAGCAGGGCAATTTATTGAGGCTTTAATGGAGCAGAATAACTGACTCAGAAATTACCTACGTCTTGTTTTTCTCCACAGTAGGCTCAACACAAAGGCACGAAAGGTATTTCCTTCCCTCCTCTCCACCCCTCTTTCTGTCCCTTCCGCAGGCCTTTGTGTGCTTGCGGTCTACATTTCTTCACTCGGTGAATATCGCTTACCTCCGTTTCAGAGCACAAACAAGTCGCCAGGTGCCATGTTTTCCATTAGAACTTGGGGACAACCAAATGATTAAATAGGATCTGTCATATAGGGGAGGATCTGGGTGGCTTTTCGGTGCAGGGTTTGCAAAGGGGAGGGCTGGCCAAGCAGGAGGGCCTGCCTCTGACCCTGGAGAGGATGACTGGATCCTCAGAAAGGGAAAGAAGGAGAAGGAGGGGGCTTACGGTTTCTAGAGAGGCAGACACCTGAGCCCCAGGGAGCACAACACCTCTGAGGAGGGAGATGTCGGGTGGGGAGAGCTCCTAGGTGCCTGTGAGGACTGAGCACCTTGGCCGTGGCCTTGGGGCCTCCATGAAGGCCTCCAATGACTAAAGCAGCAGGGAAAGCACCAGCTCACCTGTGTGGGTCTGGGCAAGGATCACAGAGGGCGTCTAAGGACCAGACTGAGGGCACCTCACCTCCACCCTCTGAGACCAGAAAAGCCCAAGTGTTTTGTTTTACTAAATATGAGGGTGCCCTAAAACATAGCAGGCACTGGCAGCCTCGGGAGTCTGTTCTGAGCTTGTGTTTATATGCATGTGTTTCTTACAGACTCACCAACCCACTGGTGGGTGGCAGGCCGCTTGCCTCCAGCGAACTCAGCAGCAGTGATTACCCTCTGTGGGCAAGGGGAAGATGGGCTTTCAACAGCTCACACGGGCTCCCAGGAGCTGCGTAAGAATCCCTGCAGCAGGAGCCAGCAGGCATGTAACTGGATCCCGGATGAGCTTGATGGGCCTCATCCAGTCATCGGACCTCTCTGTACGGATTTCCCAACTCCCTGCATTCCGTTTGTTTCTTCGATTTGCTCTTCTCTCATCTTTGGCTCACGTCTGTGTCTATGATCCTATTATCTCCTAATCAAATCTTAGTGTTTTCCCTATTAATCTCTGGCTTCAACCTACTTGCCTTTAGGATTGAATACATGCTTTTGGTCCTTCCTATATTAAATTTTAGCTGCTCTTGTTTTCGGCCTTTTGGAGACTAGCCTCGCGTTGGAACAGATAGCTGTGTTCCGCTGTGCTTCTCTCGTGAGGCTTCTGAGCACATCCAGCTGCACTACCTTCTTCCCGATGCAGCCATTCCCTGACCTCAATCACTTTCACAGATTCCTGTAGATCTTTGACCCCAGGCTCATAACTCTTCTCCCCACCTGAATCTCTGTCGTCATCCCAAATGGCGTTAGTGTTCAAGTGGATAACTCATCCAATAAGTTAACCTCAGAGTTTTGTGATTTCTTTTTCCTCCAGCAAATTTAACCTCCATTCCATTTAAGTGACCCCCTGCCAAGGCAACACCCTAGAACTTGTCCTCACGGAAAACTGTTCCAATGTCAAATTCAAAAAGCCCACTTTCCAAACCCAGCTTCTCTTTCCATCTGTGACTCCTTTAGCACAGATCCTACCCTCCTCAAGATCTCTGCTTTTGCATTCTTCCCATCTTCTCCTGACCAGGGCTTGCTTCCTTTACTTCCAGATTCAGCCCTGGAGCCATTTCTCCACGAAGACTAGCAAATACATGGCATTATCTATGCT